GTCCCCAGCCCAGGCACAGAGCCGGGGTCTGGCTGACTCCACCACGGCTGGGCACGTTCACAGAGGCGGGCTGTGCAGACCCGATGCCAACCTGCTCGCTTACGTCGTCACTACAGCCAAGGGCTCGAGGTCCTCACGTCCCCAGCCAGTCCTCTTCCTCTGGTTGTGTTAGAAGTCAGAGGGTGACGGGCAAGAGTGGAATAAGAGTCAGGAGTGGAATAAGAGTCAGGAGATGTGGCTTTGGGTCTTTGTAGTGGGCCTGGCATGGCCATCCCCAAGTTCAGCCCCGGCCTGCTGGGAATGCCATCCGCACGAGCCAGCGGGACCAGGACCCGCCCCGGCGTGGACACGCCAACTGGCTGGGGTGCTGGCCCTGTGCTTTGTCTCTGCTGGGGAGGGCCCTTCCCAACTGCCGTGGTCTTTAGCACCCCAGCCTCCTGGGTGAGCTGACTTTCTGCAGATCTCTCTTCTGTGCTGATTAGATTCTCCCCATGGGCCATCTTATTTCTGTCTCTGAGGGGGTTGGTCACCAGATCCTGCTGTCCCTCAGGGATGACCAGGTGGAGTGCCGGACCCAGCAGGGAGGCCCTGCCCACACTGCCTTTGCTCACTCACAGGGACATGGCTGTGACCCACCTGGGCACAGCTCTGCTGCCTGCCCCTCCCTTTCCCTCACCTCTGCCACTGCAGTCCCACCTCCTCAAGGCCGAGTGGGTGCCCTGCCTCCCGGCAGCCCCACTGTGGCCCACATCGGCGGTGGGCCAAACACCCACCACCAAACACCCACCTCCCCAAACACCCAGGTGCTGCGCGCCTCTCCCGCCTGGGCAAGGCCAGCAAGAGCGCTGAGAGATTATTTGCAAACATGTCTTGACTTCCTTCGGGATCGTTCTCCCCTCTGAAGCTGTGGGGCTGCGTTCTTAGCTGGTGCTTAACTTGCTGAAACAATGAAAGCAGGCGGAAGAAATCCCATTTTGTAAATAAAATACATTTAACAAAATGCCCCACAAAAAAACTCCAGCACTAAAATGCTGCACTCCACTGCATCTCAATTTACCTGCACAGCAGCTGTTTAAGGGAGCTTCTGTCCCTTTAAAATTAATCAGGCCTTTACCCTAAATTTCCAGTTTATCTTAGAGCCTCTGGACCAAGAAGATAAAATGCCCTGAGCTGGTCTGGTATGTCAGAGGGGAGGGCCAGGCAGCAGGAGGGGGGACCTGGTGGGAGCTGGCCGGAGAACTGGTCTGAGGTGGAGGAAACAGCACCTGGGGTCAAAGTGCAAGCAGAAGACCTGCTGGGGAGGGGTCAGGAGCTGGGGCCAGAGCGGCCCAGGGAGGGGCTGAGTGCCCCTGAGCAAGGGCCGAATCCTGGTTTTCTTCCTCTGTCCACAGAGAAAGGATAATCGACTCATGCAGATAGAAGAGTGAACAAGAGTTAAAGATTTATAAAGCTCCTTATTGGAAGGAGGGAGCAGGGCAGTTGCTATCATGGGTTCAAAGGAGCACACGCTTATCTGGGGTCAAGGAATGCTGGGTAGCTGTGCAAAAGGAGCAGAACTGGCTTTTCCAGGGAGGGAAGATCAAGTCCTAGTGACAGGATCATTTGCACATGTGCAGACAAGAAATGCTTTGGGCTCCGGTTGTGGTTGTCTGTAACCAGCTGAGGGAAGGCAGAGTCCCTGCAGGCTGTGCTGGGCAGACACCTCCTTTCCACGGAAGGGCAAAGTCTCCCAGCTTCATGGATCCTCAAGCCCCGCCTCTCGGTGGCAGGAGAGACAGACAGTGTCTACGCAAAGCAAGGCTGACACCACTGCTGAAGGGGCAGTTCTAGCGTTAGCAAGATCACGCTGTTAGGGGGTTACCATGGGTCCCAGAACCTCACGCATGTTTAGTAAATTCCAGCTCCTGTCACTGTCCTTTCAAGAGACATTGGACACCACTGGTGGAATGACAATGGCAGAAAGAACCAAAGTGGAGACCTTCCGATCTTTGTAGGATCAGAAGCAACTTTCCAGACCCTTGACCAGGGCGGCGTCTGTTCTGCATCTTGTTCTAGCTTGACAGGCTCCTGGGAGGTCATACCTCCTTCCCCATCCTGAGGGTGATGTGGTCAGTCAGGGTGTCTGGGGACAGAGTTGAACATGTGTCTGCAACCACCTACAGGGGACCTCTCTTACACAACTCCTCCATCGAGGTCCGTTATCCATTAAAGGTATACACACATGCACCCACAGGGACATGCATACACACATACACACAGACACACACGCACGTGCACACACACACACTCGGCCACACCAGCCTAGCCTGTCACAGCTGTCCTGGCCAGTGAACCGCCCAGCCTGCCATCCTCTCCACAAAAGCCAAAGTGATCCTAACTTGTCAACCGGATCAGGTCACTGCCTTGTCGGTCATCTTCGATAGCTTGTTTTCAAAGTACATCCAACCTCCTCTCGGTCCCTGAGCCCCTGTGGGGTGGGATTCTTGTTGCCACTCCAGCTCCCCCCTTGCCACCTGTTGCCTCCAGGCCACAGTGACTTTGCGGCATTTGCACACACCGTTCCCTCTGCCTGGAACTGTCTCTGGTCCGTCTCATTCGCCTCCTCAGACAGGACTCTGCTGACCACCCTACTGAAGCAGGCTCACCACCCCCATCCTATAACCGACCATGTAAGTTTCATCATGTCTTTCCAGATCCTTATCACCATTGATATTTCCTTCTGCCCCCCTACGGGTCTGCTGCCCGCATGATCTGTCTCATCCCGGGCAGAGTTCTCAGGAGCACTTCCTACACTTTGCTGAACTTACACAACTCCTCCATCGAGGTCCGTTATCCATTAAAGGTACACATACATGCACACACATGTGGAGGAGTTGTGTACACTTTGCTGAACGACAAAAATATTTTATGCTCGACAGAGCCTTCCAATCCTGTATGACAGGCAAGATAAATATTCTGTTTATCATTGCTGGTGGGAATGTAAATTGATATGCAGTATCTAAAGGTAAATTTGGCGGTGTGTATCAGAGCCCTAAAAAGGCTCTTAATTGCATTTTGAGGAATCTATTATAAAATAATCAGAGATGTGGCACAAGATTTAAGGACAAGAAGTAGCCTTTTAAAGAAAGACGAATAGTAGGAAATAAACGAAGGGGTGGGAGCAGAGTTGAAGCACTGTGGATATGGAACACCATGCAGTCATGAACACCATGTCTTCAGTGTTAAATAAAAAGGCACAAGGAAAGAAAATCAAAATCTCAGGCCCACCTCCTGGACTCCTTATGCAAAAGTGAAGGCAAAGGCCTCAGGCACTGGTGGACAACAGGCCCCACAGATCAGTCGTCAGGGGAATTTCTTGCTAACAATCCATAAGCAAGGACACGCAAACTGTACCTATGTCTAGCGCCTAGAACTAAAGCCTGCTGGATTCCACACTGATAGGGATCACAAGCTCACCACCGGAGACAAGACAGAATCAGACACTCTTCCGCCCACCCAGGGACAGGTCCATAATTGATGCTTCCTCCACTCCCTTATTTCATATAAAATATACATTTCTTGGCCTCACGGGAACATAACCATTACCTCTTCAGTCCTCTGCCCACATTTCCCTTCTGTCTCTTGCCTTTAAAATGCCAAAGCTTCCAACCTCCCCTTCAGAAAAACCACCACAGCTTGTCTGCAGTCCGTGGGGCACCCTCAGAATCGTGGCTGAACAAACCTTTCACTGATTGAGATTTTTGCCTCAGTCATTTATTTGGGTCGACAGGCAGAGTTGAAAACTTCAATTTTGCCTAAAAATAAACATATGTGTAGAAAAACCCCAAAGAAATAACTACTCTTTCATTTATGTATGTGACTAGGTAGTAAGATTCAGGGTGTTTTAATTTTCTTTTTACTCCTGTTTATTCTAAGTTTTTCTAAATGAGCTACAATATTATAATCAGAAAACAGATTGTTTTAAAAAGCCAAGACTCTGTGAATCCAGCTTTATCTTTATATCTCTGAGATACTCCACCTCCCCCATCAGATTTATATTAACTTTGTCATTTTTTTCTAAAAAGTGTCTAGGCTTTTAGTGGGTCAATGAAGCAGTGCTCCCACAAAAACCCTCTGATGTTGGATTTTATTGTCTTTCTCTGCCAACAGGTTAATAAAGCTACTTGGTATATTAGTTTCATTCCTGGGATTCCTTAAATTTGGTTTTAGTTCAATTGACAAATACTTGAGCGTCAACCTTTTGCAAGAGTAGGTAAGCACAAATATGAAACCTGTTTCACACACAGCTTCTGCTGCGGAGACACTTCTATTTCGAATCTAACTCCTTTCCACCTTAACCCAACCTCAGGTTAAATCTTACAGCTTTGTGCTACATCGAGGGCTGGCCGGTCCTGCTGCCTCCAGCAGGACCAGGTGCTCCACCGCAGCTGGAAGCCACCCGCCTAGTGGGGAAGAGCGAGGACAGGTTTGGTGTCTGGCGGTTACCACACCGCCCAACCATGCTGGCAAGGCTCGCCAGCTCTCTGGGACCACAGATGGGGGATTACTCCCGTGATAATTGCAGCTGAACATAGACATTAAAAACCTCGAGGACAGCGACGTTAATTCAGCTTAAATAGCCACACACATTGCACACTGGATGTTAGAGTCCATGTATGACGTAAAGCTACAAGGACAGTCCCCTTCCCTCTTTCCTGTTCCCACGTGTGCCCGCCCGAGGGCACAGTGGCTCTAAGTATCCCCTTTCCTGTCCCAGAGACGCCCATTCTGAGCCCTCAGCAGCTCGGAGGGAGGGATGCAGAAGGGAACCCCACATTTCCAGACCTTCCACACATAGGTACAATGACAAGGAGGGAACAAAAAAAAAAGGAAATTGTATCTCATTTTTTTGTGTGTGTGTCCCGGGCTCTGCATTCTAGAAAAACTCGAAGCAATTAGAACACCACAAGAAGACCTGGTTTTTATAAAATATCTTTTACTTAAAAACGAGGCCTCTCCAGGCCTGTGGGCGCGAACGTGACTGACATGACGTTTTGGCGGGAGAGCGCCAGGCAACCGTCTTACAAGAAATAAATATTGAGTACTGAAACCACAGCGGCGCCCCGCCGGGGCTGGGCACTTCGGGCCGGGGTCTGCAAAGCGGACTTGGAGCTCGGATTGGGTGGCCGGGGTGGAAGGCCATGGGGGAGGGGACGGAAGGGCTGGAGAGGTGGCGGGAGAGGCGTCAAGGAGGCGACGCAGCCAGGGAAACAGTGGCGGCCGGGCGGCCAGGGCCTTCAAGAAGGACGTCCCTGAGTCAGAACTGAGGTCCTCCGGGAGGCCGCGATGGAAACCTGCCACCACTTCCCTCTCCTGCAAATCTCTGGCTGCGTTAAGCCTTTCCTGAGCATGGCGACCGCGAAAACATATGTTCTGGGGGACTCACAGGACTCTTGGGGAGGCCACCGGGCCTTTTCTAGGGTGCGGGAAGGCGGCCCGAGCCATGCTGTCCGGGGCGTGAGGGAGGCCCCCAGCGGACGCCTGGGGTGACCAGTGAACGCCAGGGAGCTTTACGTGCCTGTCCACACGTCCTTCCCTAGACCAAGACCTCGAAATTCACGTATCTAAAGTAAGGAGACGGGATACAGGTGGAAGTCATGTATAAATAGTTGAATCTCGGCTGTACAGCACGAAACCTCAGCGGACGTGGCTCACGCGGCTTCCACACGGACGCTCGCAGCCGCGCATGCGCGCCGACGGCGCCGGCGGGATCTCCTCAAGAGCGCCCGGGGCGCGGGCGAGAGCGCCCCCGGTGTGCCACCGCCGCCGCCGCCGCCGGGAGCCCTGGGAAGCGGGCTGGTCTCAGTAGTACATGTTCTTGTCCCACCAGCCTGCAGGGGCAGAAAGGAGCGATGGGAAACGGACGGCCCACAGAAGCCGGCGGGGAGAGCCTCAGAAACCACAGCGCTACTCACTTCCGGGGTAGAGCCGGATGAAGAGTTTCCGCGCCTCGTCGTACACCCAGATCAGGATGGCGTGGGGCACGGCCACGAACCAGTACTGAGCCCTGGGGGCGGGAGGGAGGGCGTGAGTCCCGGCCCGTCCACAGGGACGGCCCAACCCGGCTAACGGGCAGGGGCTTCCTGTGCCTTTTCCCGGCCCTCCGGCAGAGACGACGGAGCCGCTGGGTCCCACGGCATCAGACTGGAAAGCTCCGCGTCTGTCCCGACTGCGACGTCTGCCTTTGCGGCACCTGGAGGCTGAGGGTGCGGCGGGCGGCAGGGTCTGGAAAGCCATCTCCTCTCGTGGGACACCGTCAGGTCCCAGCCTCGGGCCCGCAGGGCGTGGAATCAGGGTGATCTCTCCCCAGAGACTTTGCGAGAAGAACCCTGGGGAACATCCCCATGTTTTCTTTTTTTTTTTTTTTGAGACAGAGTCTCACTCTTGTTGCCAGGCTAGAGTGGTGCCTGGCGTCAGTCTAGCTCACGCAACCTCAAAACTCCTGCTCAAGCAGATCCTCCTGCCTCAGCCTCCCGTATGCTGGACTACAGGCATGTGCCACCATGCCGGCTAATTTTTCTATATATATTTTTAGTTGGCCAATTAATTTCTTTCTATTATAGTAGAGATGGGGTCTCGCTCTTGCTCAGGCTGGTTTCGAACTCCTGACCTCGAGCGATCGGCCCGCCTCGGCCTCCCAGAGTGTCAGGGTTACAGGCGTGAGCCAGCGGCCAACACCCCATGTTTTCTTAGGCTGTGACAGCTCAGGACCTGGCTGGCTCTGTCCTGGAGGCTGCGGAAAGGGCACTCACCGGAGCATGTCGAAGCTCAGGGCGGTGACACTCCCGAGGCCGTAGGACAGGAGCAGCCCGATGACGATCTGCGAGAAGATCCCCACCCAGATGACTTTATTTCTGCAACACACACAAGAGCAAACGGATCCGGACCTCGCCACCGCCATTGACGTCAAGGCCTCGGGCATCACAGGTGCAACCAGAGCAGGGTCCCGCGACCCAGCCACAGCTGAGGGCCGCCCTGGCCGGGATGGCCGAGAGTGGGCGTGGGCGGTACCTGAAGAGGCCCTGCTGGAAGATGGAGTTCCTCCGGGTCTTCCTGATGATCAGATCTGCTATTTGCTGGACAAGGATGCCAACGAAGAAAGCCGTGTAGCCGGTCCATTCTAGGTGTCTCCTCTGGTACCTCGTCTGGGCACGGGCAGGGAGGGGAGAGACCGTGAGGCCCGCAGGAAAACTTCCAGGAGGTTTCCGTGCAGTCCCGTACGTATTCACTTCCCTCCCCTCGCCCAGAGGCAGAGCGGGCCACCTCCCGGCCTTTGGAAAGAAACATTTTTTTTCCTTGCACCCGGTGAATAGGGAAAGACGTTAGTTTATTTGGCCCACGTGGCTGGGCTGGGCAGTCGCCCACAGCAATGGCAAAGCTGACGTAAACAAGTGGGCTCTTGTGGCGTAGCTGGGGAGATGAGGCTGTGTCCCTCGTCCCGGCAAAAGCCAAACCAGAGTCACCAGGGGGCCCTGTGAACTGAGCATTCACTGTCTCTGTCTCATCAGGGCCGTTCGGGGACACGCGGGGTCCGGGGTGAGCCCCGGCGGGCCATGGGAGAACCAGGCGGGCGCCACCGCCGCAGGGCTCTGGCCGCTCACCCACTCCTGCCCGTAGCTGTCCTCCAGGTCGTTCACGTCGTCCGTCTCCCACTCCACGCGCAGGTTGATGAGAGCGCTGGGCAGGAAGCCCTGCTGCGCGTAGACGGTGAAGTACACGAGGAAAGCCCCCAGTGCTTGCATGAGGCCTGCAACAGCGAGCGAGAGAGTCACGGACGTGGCTACTAAGACGGCTGCAGAGAACTGCCTGGCACTGTCCCAGCTCCGTCCCCACCCTAACCCCGAGCCCAGAAGGAGAACCCCACTCCTGACCGCGCCTACGGCCAGCGCCAGCCAGCGCGTTCTCGGGCGGGCCCTGCCGCGGCAGGCGAGCTGCGCCCGGCGTACCGATGTGCAGGTAGGAGTACACGGCAAGCGGCATGTTCACCAGTCGGTCCCTCTTCTTGTGGCGAGGCTTCCTGTTCATGATGTCGCTCTCGGCTTTCTCATAGGCCAAGGCGACGGAGGGGATCTGCAAGGGGAGAGGACGGTGGTGCTCACCCAAGGACGCCCTGCTGTTCGCACAGAAGGGCGCGGGCTGGGCCGGGCTGGGGAGGGGGGCGACTGCTGGACGGTGGCGGGGGACAGGCAGCTGGCCCGTCCAGGCTGGGGCGGCAGGGGTGCGCTGTCTGCACGGAATCTGAGAGCAACGGCTTTGAAAGTAAATGTCTGGGGCACCACCACGTGCCGGCAGTCCCGGACAACACCGGGTACAAGACACTTTCCCCCGCGAGGAGGGTTTCTGGTGCCACCCTTTCCCTCTCCCATTGCTTTTGGTTTCCAAAACAACGTGGCACGACAGCGGTTCTGTCCCAGCCCCACCCAGTGAAACTGCAGAGGGCTGTGCCCGACCCTGAGATGGCCCGGTGCGGGGGGGGGGCCTGGGCTGGGGCCGCAGGATTCGCATTTCCTTCTTTTCCTTTATTTACAGACAATGAAAGTACAACCATTTCCATGATTCCTACCCTGGATAATAGTTTTCGTTTAGTTTTATTTAATTAAAACTTTCTCTCTTAGAGACAAGGTGTCTCTACGTCGCCCAGGCTGCATTCGAATTCCCGAGATCCTCCCGCCTCGGCCTCCAGCGCAGCTGGGACTGCAGGTGCACGGAGCCCAGAATTTGCATTTGTGACAGGTGCCCAGGTGATGCCTGGGCCGTACTTGGGGAACAAAATGAGCGAATGTGAAGGGCTTGGGATATGACCTATCAGCTGTGGGGACCTCGGTCCTCCCAAGGAGGAGAATGCTCCAATCTCCCTGCGTGTAGGGATGGGGGGGCAAACAAAGCCAGAGGGGGAGGAGGTGCCTGCAGCCCCTTTCCGGCTGTGGGTTAGGGCTCCCCTCTCTTGCTTTGTCCCTGTGCCCGGAACCCAGAGCCACAGGGTAACTTTCACTTTTTAAATGGATGCATACAGGAAAAGAGGAGGGTTTAGGTGACGTTATTATAGCACAAAGCTTTATAAAGTCCCAGTGGCCATGACTTCTCGCTGTGTTCAGGAGGGGGGCGTCCACACCCGGTTCTGCCACTTCACAGGGGCGGCTGTGGGACTGTCACTGTAGCCACTGGGCCCCCAGCGGCACAGGCACAATTTGGGGGGCAGCTTCACCCTCCCCAAAGAAGTAGGAGGCATGGGGGCTGACACCGACCAATGACCAAGGGTAAAGAGTCGGGTCTCGCAGAGCTCTGCATGGGGTGACATGGCCTTACTCGCCAAGCACGTGACAGGTGTCTCTGGTCCCCTGCTCGGAAGCGTGGTCTGTGGCCCGGCAAAACCGGGGCCACCTGGGAGCCCATCGGAACCACAGAGCCACAGGCCCCGTCGGGCCGGAGTCTGAGAAGCTCCAGCTCAGCCCATCTCCCGGCCCTGGAGGGAAATGACCCTGAACTTGACACGCCCCAGGGTGGCAGCCCTGCGAGGGAGCCACTTACTATGTCCGTGCCCAGGTCGATGAACAGGATGGTGATGGTGCCGATGGGCAGGGGCAGCCCCGCGATGATGTAGATGAGGAAGGGGCAGAGCTCGGCGATGTTCTTGGTCAGGGTGTAGGCGATGGTCTTCTTCAGGTTGTCGAAGATCAGGCGGCCTGGGCGAGGACATGTCCCCTCTCAGGGCTGGCCACCACCTCCCGGGCCACCCGGGACTCGGGGAGGCCACCCCTGCGAGCCCACTCACCTTCCTCCACGCCCGTGACAATGGAGGCGAAGTTGTCGTCCAGCAGGACCATGTCGGCGGCGTTTTTGGCTGCGTCAGAGCCCGCGATGCCCATGGCGATGCCGATGTCCGCCTTCTTCAGGGCGGGGGAGTCGTTGACGCCGTCTCCTGTCACTGCCACGACCGCGTCCTGGGGGGTGGGGGGAGCGGGAGGAGACGGGGTGAGCGGGCCCCGGGGTCAGGGGTCGGCAAGAACGCCCAGGCCTCCCGCAGCCCCGATTCGGGGAAAGATGAAGACGACGGCGTCTGCGCAGCAAGAACAAGCAGCCGGGATCGCGGCGTGCTCCGGGGAGAAAACTCTGCGTGCGCGGCAGCAGTCGGCGGCGTTTTGTGCCTCAAGTCTGCACGGTTTTCGTTTTACGTTTACGTTTTAAAATCTTTCTCTGCTCACACCTGCCGCAGCAGCACATTCCCCCCCCCCTCCCAGAACCCCGGCTCCTGTGACAAGACGCAGGGAGCTGGCTGAGCCCTGCGGGGGGGTGGGGAGCCAGTGGCCACGGGGCTCTCGGAGGAGGGGCCGGCACAGGGGGCAGGTGACGAGGATGGGCACAGGGCTCTCCCTGGGCAGGTGTGAGGGGGTCCCAGCCGGAGCCGGGGCGCGGGCCGCGGCCCACCCACCTGCCTCTGGCAGCCCTCCACGATGATCAGCTTCTGCTGCGGCGACGTGCGGGCAAAGACGATCTCGGAGTAGCTGGCCAAGAGCTCGTCCAGCTGCTCCAGGCTCATGTCCTTCAGCTCCTGGCCGGTCACGACGGCGGCCTTGGCGTCCCTGGGGAGGCCCAACAGAGACCCAGTGAGGCCCGGGCCGGACCTCGGGGTGAGACACTGTTCCAGGTGGTACGTGGGCTGGAGCCGCCTTGGCTGTGCCCGGACCCAACGTCCGAGACAGCGGGGACCCTCGGGAGGTCACAGGGTTGTGACTGCTGGGGACACTGGTCTCCACTTCAAGATAGAAAACTGAGGTCAAAAGAAAAAAAAAAAAAGACCATTTCCTGAGGTCCTCCTATAACAATAGGAATGAAAAGCCAGCGGCCTTTCCCTCGCTGGCTCAGGTGAGAGGTGGCATTTCCCGGAGCGACGCTTTACTGCACAGGTAAAAGGAGGGGAAACTTCGCTGCCTGCTCGTATGTTTTGGGTCCTAGAATTCCCTTATGCCAAAATGCAGAGGTAACGATCCTTTGCTGTTGTTCAGTGCGGATGTGCAGTGTCCACTGCGTGCGACGTGCTGTGTGGGCAGAGAAGCTCACTGAGATCTTCTCTGAGCACCAGGGTCACCTGCGAGTGACGGCAAGTGTCTGGGGACCCTTGACTGTGCAGAGCTGGCGACTCCCCGCTAAGGGCTTCCCTCTGTGCTCCAGCAGACCCAGCACCCCGGGGCTCCCCCAGCCCGGCAGACCCCGTCGGTCCTGAGACCCCCGCACCCCTCCGGCCCCAGGGCCTGCACTGCTCCCCTCCCTTGCCAGGCAGGGGCACTGCTCATCGGCTGCCCAGGGCCAACGCCCCACGTTTCAGCCTTCAGATCTCAGTTTGAACGCCACAGGCAGGGAACACGGCGGGCCCTTTTCTTTACACTTCGTACGTTTCGAGCTTTGTACGTCTGCTTTTCCTCCTTTCGCTACATATTGGAATTCTGGCACTTAAACCGCAGGCCTTCCTACCGCGGGTAAAAACTATCCAAGTGAGAAGAGAAGGAAGGGTGTTTCCTCTCCCGAGCCCCGCCGAGATGCGGTTCTGTGGGCCATGAAACCAGAGCTGGAGAGGAGAAAACGCAAAACTTTCGCAAAGGCTCGTAGGGGTGATAAGATGGATAAAGATGTACGACCCACTCTTCCCCTCTGTGGCTGTCGCCACGGTGCCAGAGGCAGGACGAAGCTCCATCCCGTTGTGACTTCCCACGGAGCAGAGGCGGCAACCGGCATTTCAGTGCACCCCCCACGCCCCCAGGGAGAGCAGGTCCCCCTTCCCAGGGAGCGAGACGGAAGCACAGTGTTCAGTCCACGCTGGTCCAGATGGAGGACGGCAGAGGTCAGGCCCGGACTCTACGGAAGTCTCAGACGGTCAAAGCAGTCACGGCATCAGGAGGGGACACATCCCCCTCGCTGACCAGGGGCTGTGGGGGGAGGCTGAGGCACCCTCGTGGACGCCTGCCCAGCTGCGGGTCAGTGCTGGGCTCAAACCGGACAAAGACCTAACAGATCCTGGAACAGGAAGCGGAATCTCACGGCGCAGGGGAGGGAGGAAAAGGGCGACTGTTCGCACGGGGAAGAAACGACTCAGGAGGTGCAGGGGTCATCTCATACACAACTGTCTTTAAAAACTGCTAAAATGCCCAGGTGCGGTGGCTCACACCTGTAATCCCAGCACTCTGGGAGGCCGAGGCAGGCAGATCCCTCCAAGGTCAGGAGTTTGAGACCAGCCTGAGCAAGAGTAAGACCCTTTCTCTACTAAAAATAGAAAGAAATTAATTGGACCACTAAAAATATGTAGAAAAACTTAGCCGGGCATGGTGGCGCACACCTGTAGTCCCATCTACTCGGGAGGCTGAGGCAGGAGGATCACTCGAGCCCAGGAGTAGGAGGTTGCTGTGAGCTAGGCTGACGCCACGGCACTCACTCTAGCCCAGGCAACAGAGTGAGACTCTGTCTCAAAAAAAAAAAAAAGCGAAAATGAGAAAAATGTACAATCCAATTATTTTTAGTGAAATCAACTAGCCCCAAAGCTGTTTTCAGAAAGAGATGTCACTTATACCAAAGAGCGGCAGCATCAACAGATTCAGACACTGCTGCTGGGATCCTGCTGGGTGTCTGACTTGGTGATTTGTGACCCATCAGCTCTGTGTCCCTAAAGGCCGCGTGCCTGGGTAAAGTACGGCCATCCCTTGGCCTTTCCCTTTCGCCCCACATGCATGGAAGCACGATCCAGACAGCGACACTTCTCTCCACCCGGAGACTTTGGAGTCTTTGACTCTTTAAACCCACCCAGGGTCCAGGCCACGCTCCGCCCACACCCAGCGTGTCCACGATTCTGACCACGGCGTGGTCTCCCTGCTTCCCTGTCTCCCCAGCAGTTGGGATGTTCTCAAGGGTGGGGACAGTAGGTTCTGTTTGCTGCCATAGTTCCAGGTCTAGGAGAGCACCTGGTGTGAGGCCGGCGCTCGACTAGTAATTGCTGAAAGAATCAATAGGCGGATGAACGGCCAGACGGAGGGATGAAGGGATAACCGTGATTCAAAGAATTAGGAGAAACAAGGAAAACAGCTGTCTTGAGAAAGCCTTCATTCTGTACACTGCCAAATAGAAAAAGAAGAGCAGGTTTACATAGCCACGCATTTTGAGGCAAGCTGAATAGACAAGAACCCAAGATGCTCACCAGGGGTGCGTGAAACCCCACAGGTTCTCACTATTCCTAATCATACAACTGGACCCCGGCCAGGTAATCACACATGAACCGTTTGTTTCCGGTTTTCTTACTCCAAATTGGCACGTGCGTTTCCAGATCTACTCCACTGGATTCTGACATTTCAGACAAGACATATTAGAGGGTCATTTTCATGACATCAATGCAGTGCCTGGCACATGTTAGGTGCTCGGTTAAATTTCATGTGAACCCACGGGCATGTGAACTACAGATCATACCAGCCTGGCACTGGCCGAGAGGGTGTTTGGCAAAAAGGCAATTCTCCCCCAACGGGGCCGTGCCTTGGAGCCGGCAGGGCCACATGGGGCAGAGCGAGCGCGTCTGCCGGGCCGGTTCTGCGCTCACCGCTTGTTAACTTGCTCCACGGGGACGTTGAGGCGGTTGGCGATGTCTTCCACTGTCTCGCTGTTGGCCGAGATGATCCCCACGCTCTTGGCGATGGCTTTGGCTGTGATGGGGTGATCGCCGGTGACCATGATGACCTGGAGCACAGAGGAGAGGGCCCATGGACACCGAGGACGCGGCCAGCCAAAGAGGGGACGGACGGCGTGGCCCCCTCCCACGGCCCTGGGGGGGGTGGGGGGTGCAGCCAGGGACTGCTGTGGTTTGTGGGTCTGAGACACACAGTCTTTGGAGACACGTTAGCGCCACGGGGGCTGCTCCTGCTCCCAAGCTGCTTACACTTCTTCGTGACGTTAGAGAAAGCGGGTCCACTCTATCTGTGAAAGGGCCGCCGGAAGTCTGCTTGGGGTAGCCCATGTGGCTTCCATAGTCTGGATGCCAACGGGGCCACGGAGTCCGCATTTTGGTTTCAATGTCACGAAGATAAATGGGTGAGGGAGGCTGAACCTCAGGATTTGTAATAAAGCCTTTGATGATGGATCACGGTCTAGGGCAGACAGAGCCGCTTCAGGGCATGGGGAGGTTCTTCTGGCCATAGTTACTGTTGTGGCTTTTTCCACGTAGGCACCATGATTTGCTTTCACAGGACGGTTACTGACATCTTAGCACAATGAAAGTGGAGATTTAAAAAAAGGGGGATGACTGGACGCAGTGGCTCACGCCTATAATCCTAGCACTCTGGGGAGGCCAAGGCGGGAGGATCACTCAAGGTCAGGAGTTCAAGACCAGCCTGAGCAAGAGCGAGACCCGTCTCTACTAAAGATAGAAAGAAATTAGCTGGACAACTAAAAAATATATAGAAAAAATTAGCTGGGCACGGTGGCGCATGCCTGTAGTCCCAGCTACTTGGGAGGCTGAGGCAGCAGGATTGCTTGAGCCCAGGAGTTTGAGGTTGCTGTGAGCTAGGCTGATGCCACAGCACTCTAGCCTGGGCAACAGAGAGAGACTCTGTTCCCTCCAAAAAAAAAAACAAAAAAGAAAAGGCAGGGAGGATGATGCCATTTACTGGAAGAGCCCTAAATACTGACCATGTCCCATGATCAACGTTACTAGGAAGGGTTCACCATAAGTGGAGGCCTCCTCGAGGCCGGGACAGGCTCCCACCTTGATGCCCGCACTGCGGCACTTGGTGACGGCGTCCGGCACGGTGGACCGCGGGGGGTCGATCATGGACAAGAGCCCCACGAAGCAGAAGTTGGAGGTGGGGAAGTTCATGGCATCCGTGTCAAACGAGTAGGTTTCTGGAAACTTGTCTGTTGGCAGGTAGAGGTGACAGAAACCTGGAATGGGACGAATTTGGAAGTTAACGAAAGTAGGATGAGAAATGACAAACATAAAGGTGGGGGGACACGCTGATACACTCTCAGTCCTCTACTATTTTTGCCAATGCATTAGAATGCACTGGAAGTGTTTACTTCCTTTGACGCTATAATGCATGATTTTTTTTTTTTTAAGAAAAGACACATTTCATCTGAAAATGATTTACCGCGTGCTCACTAGGTTCTGTGCTATGCTCTAGAGTTTTTACGACGGCCAGCAGTGGGCAGCCTAGACTTCTGGAGACGTCCCAGCTCCGTGGGGCGGAGCCTGAGAGACGCGGCGTAGCGAAGGCCGAGCCACGCTCCAGCCAGTGGAGGGGTCAGGAGACACATCCCCAAGGGGGTCACGAGTGAGCTGAGCCTCCAGGGGGACACAGAGGTTGCCAGGCAAGAAAGGAAGGAAGGAAGGGGGCGGGAAGGCCATTTTCGGCACAGGAAACAGCACGTGCTACTGCGCAGAGCGGGCGAGGAACCGGGGCCATGGGGGAGTGGGCCGAGGTCCTGCCTTTGATCGAGGCAAGCGCAGGAGAAAGGCTGTCAGGACCCGGCTGCACCACCCTTTCCGGAAGACATCAGCCCCTCCCAGGCTGAGACGGAAGGGACCCCTGTGTCTGGCGGGAACGCCAGGACCGCGTGACCCTCTCGTCTGCTTTTACAGAAAACACACTCTCAGCGGCCCGCCGCCCCGCACATTGCGGACTTGCAGAGGCCCAACTCGAGGCCCCCACAGCACCTACAGCCGGATGGGGACGCACCCGCCCGGTTTGGGAAAGAGTGCGGGGCACTGTGGCTATGTGTGGTGTGCCTACTACGCCGTTGTCATCTGGCGTGTGTGCTGAACCTGCTTCAGGGACCCGACTAGCCGCTAGAAACACACACGCCACAGAGTCCCTCCCTGCTGGCCCGAGCGTTCGCGTGTCCGGTGGGCCTTAGCATCCAGCTCGCACCTCTGGGTCCCTGAAGTCGTCCCCCTAACCCTGACGACAGGGCGGATGCTGTCCCCGCTGGGGCGCCGCCGCAGCTACCACCTTAGTCCCCTCCTACCGAGGCTGCCTCTCCAAGGTTCCCGTCCTCTGACAACGCCCGTCTCCCTTATGGGCACCACTGTTTTCCTTGGGTTGCTAAATGAGGAGCTTAATCATCTGTAACTGACTCCTCTCTATAACCAGGGGTTAGTCTTCCCAGTTCTGCCTCCAGTAGGTCTCCTGCCTGGACCCCTCCTCCACACACCCCCTGCCTCAATCACACACCTGTCCCTGTCCCCTGGTCCCCTGAGCGAGGGCAGCCACCTCCCACGGAGCCCTGGCTCCCCTCCCTGCTGCCCCTGGCCATCCTCACCAAGCCTGCACCCCACTGGGCTTGACTGCAGGACGGAGTGTGAGTTCTCACCGGCACGTCCAAGACCCCCCACCTGTCCCCCAGCCCTGGCTCCGCAACTGATCCGGCCAGGCAACCCCTCTCTGCCCCTGTGCTTGGTGACGTTGCTCCTTCTGCCCCAGACGCCGTCCCCACCGCCCTCCACATGCTGTCACTCCAGGCCGCAGACACGTAAGCCCTTGCACGGCCTTCCCCGATCCCGCCTCCCCGGACCCCAGCCTGCTCGGTGCTGTCCCACGTCGGCGTCCCCTTGGGGCCCCTCCAGTCCCTCATATCCTCCTCCCCATGCTCCAAGTGATGCCGCAGCCACTGGCCCGAGACGCCGGCCCGGCCTCCCTGCTCACCCAGCACGCGCTCGCCCAGCCCGCCCAGCTCCATGTAGGCCGTGTGGAAGGCCTTGGCCGTGCTCTTGTCCAGCGGCTGCTCCTGGCCGTTGATCATGATGGTGCTGCACTTCTCCAGGACGCGCTCGGGGGCCCCCTTCATCACCATGAGGAAGCGCTTGTCCTCGGGGTCCTCTGTCTCGTGTATGGAGAGCTGGCGGGAGAGAGTCGGGCGTGTCAGGTCAGGAAGGTGACAAACACACCTGTCTCTCCCCTCATCCTCAACAGGCAAAGGAGGAGGAGGAACAGGCCGGGTGCGGTGGCTCACACCTGTAATCCTAGCGCTCTGGGAGGCCGAGGTGGAAGGATCGCTCAAGGTCAGGGGTTGGAAACAAGCCTGAGCCAGAGCGAGACCCTGTCTCTACTAAAAATCCAAAGAAACTAATTGTCCAACTAAAAATATATAGAAAGAATTAGCCGGGCATGGTGGCCCATGCCTGTAGTCCCAGCTACTCAGGAGGCTGAGGCAGGAGGATTGCTTGAGCCCAGGAGTTTGAAGTTGCAGTGAGCTAGGCTGACACCACAGCACTCTAGCCCGGGCAACTCAGTGAGACTTTGACTCACAAAAAAAAAAAGGAGGAGGAACGATGACATCCCCAGCGTGCACTGTCCTTTTTATCTCGGTGGCCAAGTAACACACAGGGATCTAGACTTGGGCTCAGCGCAGGGAGGCACCGAGTCCTCCAGACAGAAACCGGGTGCTGTAGGGAGGCGGGACGTGGCTGCCAGCCCGTGCAATCCTGTGGCAGGGCGTGAGGAAGGGGACAGGCTCACACACAGCCATGCAGGAGCACAGCCAGGCCCTTGGTGTCACAATTTTAAAGTGAATGCCTTGATCTAGCAATTCTGCTGCTAGGTCCAACCTAAGGTAATCAGAAAAAATGTCGAAAAAAAATATCCCTATATGAGAATAAAATGACTCTTACATCTGCCAGGCACTCTTCTGGACACTCAGGGGGAATCTCAGGAAGGTGGAGTGTTTGGGGGAAAATAAGTGACAAAGAGCAACGCTACCATTTGGGGTCTGACAGTTGATTCCAGATCAGCAATTCCTGGGCTGTTGGACATGAACAAGAAATACCAGGCAAGCCCCAGCGGGACGGGGCAAGTAGGGCTGCGGCTGCGGCTGCTTTAATGGCCAAGTAACAATACTAAGGATAAAACCAACCAGCCAAAACCAAAATCAAACCAAACCCTCCCATCTATCAGCACCATCATTTTATAAAAGATAAGACTTCTCACACTTAACGAGTAAGAGAAAGAAACACTTTTAGGGTGTGCATCATGCACTCTCACAAGGGGGGAAACTGAGGCACAGAGGGTCGGTGACTTGCGCGAAGTCACACACTAACGGCATCGGAGCCGGGATTTGAACCCGGATGAGCAGGCCCCACAGTGTCCCTGCCCTGGACCACTGAGGACGCAGAGCGTAATCTTCTAAACTAAATACATTCATCTGCACGTAAACGTTACAAAACATTGTCCTAACTTCCCAGTTTGCCATAAACCCTTTTAAATATTTTCGGGGAGCAGTCTGTTTGGGGCCCTGCTGTCCTGAGATCACCGGGACCCGACTCTCTCCTTTCTTTCCCCAGCGGACGCACAGCAGCCGCCGTCCGAGGCCGGGCCACTCACCTGAGCGCGAGAAGGGAGCCCCTCTGACCTCCCCCGCGGGCCCTGGGCCCTCTGCAGGCCCACTGTGCGCCCACGCCCTGCCCGGCCTGCACATGGGACCCGCGGGGAACGCCACTGCCGCGGGAGACGGAGCCCAGCAGGGTCCGAGCCTCATCCCCGGTCAGATCGTCTTCCTCCGTGTCTCCCCACCCCACGCTCCCAGCCCGCCTGCCGCAGAGCCGTCCTGAGAACGCAGGGTTTAACACACGTGGAAGCTGGCGCTGGATGGCTGCTATTACTACTGGCATTTTAGGTGTTACCCACCCCACTTTCACTTAGGCTTGGAATAAGACACCCGACTTCCTGGCTTTAGTCTCTCACATCACACCTCTCTGCGAGTTGTCTGTTTAGCTGCCTGCGATTCCTTCTCGGTTCCTTATCCACCAGGACGACACCTGCAACAGAGTTCTCCTCCAGCCTCAATTCCACCCAGACAAAGACGGGTGCATAACCACCAGAAATCTCTCTCCATGTGTAAACAAACGCACATGCACACGCACACACACGTATGCATGCATGCACACGCGGTCATCCTATTCACACACCGCACACTCGTGCAAAGCCCAAGCCATGGTCCCTGTTTCCAGCTCAGGATCCCGGGATTCTGCGGGAAATCCCACCTGCATCCGGCCCTGAGCTATACACACCGCCACTCACGCTAACAGGAGCAGGACGCAGACGGCTGGCGGTGTCGGGCCCGTGATGAGGGGACACCACTAGGCAGGGACAGCCACTGCCTTCCTGAGCAGTGGGTGCGAGGGGGACCCCGGCCACAGCGCGTCAGGAAACCGAAAGCCACCGTGACCGACTGAGAGACCGTTCGCCGGTCTTCGCGGAGAGCAGGGCCCACCCCACGGCCAGGCCGCAGCTGTCCTGTCTCTGTGCCCTGCGGGAACAGCCACGGGCTTCGGAGTCAGACTGTGAGAGCCGGGTGTCCACTAGGGTGCCGTGTAACTACGGGCCCAGGAGCACTTGCTAACGGCCTGTACCCCCACCTGCGCCGCCGGCCTGCCGGGTACCAGGTGCGCAATGTCAGCGCTCACCCCGCACCGCCTCTACTCATCCTCTAAGACGCAGCTGGCTGTGGCTCCTCACTGTGCAGAAGTTACCTGGGGGCGGGCGGGGGTGTACGCGTGTGCATGCGATGTGGGCGGGTCGTTCCCAGGAGCAGCCAGGCCCCAGAAAGGTCTTTGCCTTCCTTTCTCCCTCCAGCCTCCGTCAGGTAGGCAGAAGGAAGGGGGCCAGCAGGGGCCAGCTGACCCGGGCTGACCCAAAGCCCAGGCCAAAGGACGCCTGAGGCTGCAGGTAGAAATGCCCTTCTAGCAATAACAAAGGTCGCCGGTTGTCAGGAAAAGCTCACCTGAAATTTGTTAGTAGAGTTAAAAGGGATTTCAGCTACTTTGCGGTTCCTTTTTCTGATTTCCATCACGTCACCCAAAATGACCTCTGAGAACTTCAGAAGCGCAGTTTCTGAGGCGTCTCCAACCACGACTTTCTGGGAATGGAAAGAGATACACGAACACTCGCAGCACACACAGTCTGGCTCTTTTACGATTGCTTACAGTGAACCAACATGTCTTCAGCGCAGGAACCGACTTGCTCCCTACGCAGCTCGCTGTGGGGTGGGAGAGACGCAGGCACCGATGAGGGACAGAGGCAGGACTGTGAAACAACGGTGCCACCTGCTGGTACCCGGGAAATTCAAAGAAGCCGGAGCTCTGTGGGAACCGCAGGGTTTGCATAGAATAAAAAGCAGAGTGGAACTGGATCCTGATGGGCGGGTGGGGACCCGTGCACAGAGGAGCGGAGAACCTTCTAGAAACCGGAATGCAGGAGCGGAGTGCGAAGGGGGAGGCTCCTCCGTGAGTGCTGAGAGTGCAGGAGGCCGGGGAGGTGTGGGGAGGTGTGGAGGGCCTGAGAGGCAGGCCGAGGTCTAGACTCAGGGGCAGAAAATAGGGAAGCACAGGAAGCTTTTGAGCAAAGTTAGGTAAAGAATAGAGTGGTATTTACTGAGAACTAATGGGATTCCAGGAAGACCGTGGGAGGGATAAACTGGAATCGGGGAGGCCAGTTAAGAGGCTGGTGCAGCTACTCAGATGCAAGGTACTGGTGACAACAGAAACATGAAATTATGCATGTTTTGAAGCAAGAATGACAGAGCACGGTGACCACGAGATGTAAGGGAAGGAGAGAGTCAGAGAGGACTTCCAAAAGCTTCGGCCCCTTGGCGAGTGGTTATGTCACAGGAAAACAGAAAGTCGGGGACAAGAGACTGATCCGCGGCCAGCCTGGGTGCAGCAGGAAGGTGGCAAGTGCGAGGTGCCAGAGGCTGCCAGGCAGCGCACAGCTGGTCAGAATGGCCAAACCCTCTGCATGCCCCATGCCAGCACGGCACAGACTTTACTCAGCTGGAGAGAGTGAACCCAGCACCCAGCAGAACAGAGCAAGTGACATCTCACTGGGTGTGATTTAACACATTGACGGCCGTGCGGGTTGTATTTAACTCAGGCTAGTTTTGAGCCCGGGGCCTTGTGAAGCAAAGCCCTGCAGCTGGTTCGTGAAAACCATAACCTGTTGATGTTCTTATTGCTACAATTAATACTGACGATTTAATTCTAAAAACACGGGTCGCGTTGCATGTCACCCATGCACAGAAAACAATAAAAAATGACAAATCAGTCTGGGCGCGGTGGCTCACGCCTGCAATCCCAGCACTGTGGGAGGCCAAGGAGGGCGGATCATTTGAGCTCAGGAGTTCGAGACCAGCCTGAGCAAGAGCGAGACCCCCCCCTCCGCCTCTACTAAAAAAATAGAAAGAAATTAGTTGGCCAACTAAAAATACATAGAAAAAATGAGCCGGGCATGGTGGCACGTGCCTGTAGTCCCAGCTACTCTGGAGGCTGAGGCAGGAGGATCGCTTGAACCCAGGAGTTTGAGGTTGCTGTGAGCTAGGCTGACGCCACGGCACTCACCATAGCCTGGGCAACAGAGTGAGACTCTGTCTCAAAAAAAAAAAAAAAAGGTAACAAATTAGAAGGGATGGTTTTGTTTGAGGTCCACGTTCCCCGGATCGATCGATGACTTTACACATAATTCTCATCTCCCTGAAACATAGAAAAGCAAGCTGTAACCCAACCACGGGGAGAGCACTCGCTCAAGGGCTTCCCGGTGGGGCTCTCCGGGCCGCGGTCGGGGACGTTCCATCGACAGAGTGAGTCTGGCTTCTTTTCCATCGGCAGACAGTCGATGTATCAATAACGCATACTAAAATCGTGGAACGAGAACGAGAGCAATTAAAAAAGCCATCCTCTCGCACTTGCCACGGACCATCTGGCGGGCGGGCTCCACGCTTTACGTTTCGCTTTTTATTCTTCACGTTTTCCATTTTACACGAGCGGTGTGTACGGAAACACCCAGACGCTGGCCTTCCTTCCGATCGCCTCGAAAGGGAAAACATCTAGGATTCCTTCCCCCTCCCCCTTGGCCTTTGAGTGTCATTCATCCCTATCCCGCGGAAGGACAGCTCGATGAAATCATGTTTGTTTTTGTTTTCCGTGTGTCCGTCTGTTTGTTTTTTGAGACAGAGCGTCACCGCGTCGCCCGCGCTGGCTAGAGTGCCGTGGCGTCAGCCCGGCTCACGGCAACCTCAAACTCCTAGGCTCAAACGATCCTGCTGCCTCAGCCTCCCAGGTAGCAATAAAACACCGTGGCCCCAGAGAAAATTTTTTCCTTGCGTGGGAGTCAGTGAGTTCCGACCCAGCACCACGCACCGTGCAAGCATTACCTTCATGATGGGGACGCTTTCCTGTCCTGGCTTGAACTCGGCCCGGTTACACAATGTTATGATCTTGGATAAGGACGCCCAAGTCCGGGAGGTCTGGTCAAACACTTGGTCTGGAAGACAGAGACAGGGCGGTGGCTGCTATGGGGGGCGGGTCTGTCCCGCAGCTCTGAGCCCGCAGACCTGCCCCCGCCTGGCCCGCCCGGCCCCACGGCAGACCCAGCGCTCCAGGAGACCTACTGGACTGGTCTTCACTGGTGTCCGCCACGAAGATCTGGTTGTCAAACCACAGATGGGCCACGGTCATCCTGTTCTGGGTCAGAGTCCCTGTCTTGTCCGAGCAGATGATGGAGGTGGACCCCAGGGTCTCCACCGCCTCCAGGTTCTTCACCAGGCAGTTCTTCTTGGCCATGCGCTTGGCGGTCAGAGACAGCGTCACCTGGCAGGGCAGGGGCGAGAGAGACAGGCAGGCTTTGGGGAATCGCTCACGGCAAGCGACCGCAGGCTCCCCGGCAGCAGGGAGCCGGCCCGGCTCGGCTGCAGCTGTGCAGGAGGGAGCTGGCCTCAGGAGCGCGGTCCGGCTGCCCGGGCAAAGCTGACCTCGTGGCTTGTAAGCCGCTGTGGCCCTCCATGCCACAGCCCTCTTTTAAAAAATTAAATATGAGACACTTTTCTTGTCCCTTCATTCCTTAAAGAAGATGACCCCGAGGGGCCCACGGGCAGCAAGGGCAGACACGTGTGCAGAGCTGGAGGGTGGGGAGCCACGGCTGCCGCCGGCCCTGCGCACACTCGCCAGAGAGCCCTGGGCCGGGCGGCCGGAGAGGTTGCTCAAAGGACGATGCCCTTGTTGCTTTGGGGAGCCAAGAAGCACGTGTATTTCCTTTTAAGAGCCCTATATTTCAAAGTTTTCTTTAAAACCCCCAGATCTCAAAGGCTTCTTTTGCCACTAGTTTCCCCAAATTACTATCTCCTGGAGTCAGAAGAGACCTGGAATTCAAAAACTTCTCTTGCCTTCGGTCAGGAGCTGCCCGGGATCGTGCAGTTACAAAACTGGGAACAGGAATCCTCCCCTCCTACCCCCGGGGCCTCCCTGGCAGAGACCGGGAGGCGGGAGGCGAGGGGCCTCTTATCTAAGGACTAGGACGAGATGCCTCACACAGGCACAGGTGAGCTGGGGTGGGGGCGGAAAGGGCTGGATTTTTCTGCCCGAGAAAAGGGAGGAATGTTTTTTTTTTTTTTTTTTTTGTCTGAGAGGGAAGCAAAGTGAGGCAAAGAAATGTAACAATGAGCCCAAATTCCTAAGTCGTAGGAATTGCCAAGGAAATGTGGGGAAGCCATTAGGCTTCTAGGAAATCTGTGAGTGGTAGAGTCTGTCTTTTCTAGATCTTAATGGGGGGGGGGACGAAATAACATTTGTGTCTTGTAGGCAGATCTGAACGTAGAACATTTGCAAGGACAATGCACTCAGATATTAAAAATGCCACCATTCCTCTTGTCCCTCTTAGAGAGGGTCTACTCAGAATGTTCCCCGGCTGTCCCTGCTGGGAGGGTGTGTGGCCCCGGACACAGGTGACTGGCTGTGTGCACGTGGGACCCTCCCTGCGGTGCAGCTACATGTCCTCGGGGTTGGCGCAGGCCGCCCGACAGCAGGGACTCACGGTGACAGTGGCCAGCAGGCCCTCAGGCACGTTGGCCACGATGATGCTAATGAGGAAGATGATGGCGTCCAGGACTTGGTACTTCATGGACACGGCGATGATGAAGAACAGGATGCCGATGGAGACGGCCACCCCTGCCACGATGTGAACAAAGTGCTCGATCTCGACCGCAATGGGCGTCTTCTCGTTCCCGACCCCGGACGCCAAGGAGGCGATGTGGCCGATGGTGGTGCGGTCGCCCGTGCTGATGACCATGCCGGTGGCGGTGCCTGCAGGGGAAGCAGACCTTTGACCCCGGGAGTCCTGAGCTACGGGGGCGCCGGAGCCTGCTGCAGCCCCCTGGGGCTGGCACGGTCAATTAGATGCCTGCTGTGGCATCCGTCTTCCCGGCCGCCCACTCCAACAGGTCCTCTGGGACCAGCTTTGTGTGTAGCAAGACGCGGCCGAGAGACACAGACACGAGGGCCGGGGAGGGAGGAGGCTGCAGGTGGGCGGGTGGCCTGGGGGACGGCCGGCCTTACCCTCCAGACAGGTGGTAGAATAGAAGCAGATGTTCTTCGTTTCCAGGGGGTTTTCGTGGGTGAACTCAGAGGAGCGGGACTGGGGCTCAGATTCCCCCGTGAGACACGAATTATCTACCTGGAAGAAATTTTGAAAACGGCTCGGAATTAGGCACCAGGTTCCCTGCCTCTCATGCCGCAGCCAGGCGCGACAAGCCAGCTCCTGGCACGGTCCTCAGGGCGGGCGCCTGGGACCTACCTTGCACCCCTGAGAAAACAGCACCCTGATGTCCGCGGGGATCTGGTCTCCCCCTTTCACCTCCACGATGTCCCCCACCACCAGCTGCTCTGCGGGGATTATCTTCTTCTCGGAGTCCCGGATGACGAGGGCTTGCTGCAGGAGAGAACGGGGCAGACGCCTCAGAGCCCCGAAGGAGCCGCCTCCTGCCCCCCTGGGCCACACCAGCCCCCGGACAGGGACACCAGCGGAACCTCGCTGTCAGAGTGGCAAGAATGAAACCGGCAACTGCTTCTCCCCGGGCCCCGGCCTCTAAGACTATTTTTTCTTGAGCTCGAAAAGACGTTCTTGCAACCGGCAAAGGGAGAGCCCCGGCCGCACGGGCAGGAAGACGGTGAAAAGCAGCCGTCCCCGCTGGGCGCCCGGGAAGAGCAGCGGGCGCCGTGGGGTGTAATACTCCTGCGAAGGTCTAGGAAACCTTAATCCCGGACTGCCTGGCTCCGCAGGAGTCTCCTCCACCCAGAGCCTTTCCCTGCAGCGGGCAGCTCTCGGGCCAGGGGCAGCGGGCTTGTCCTGCCCTGGACACTTGACAGCGGGTCCTGGGGGACAGGGGGGCACTGCAGTCCCCACTCAGAGCATTTTGGGGCGACACGCCCTGGGATCAGGGACGGCAGCAAACACGGCTGCAGAAAGCCACAGATGGGCCTCCCAATGCCAGGGAACCAAGTCCCTGACTTCCACACGCCCCTCCCCGAGCCACCCGGTGACTGTCCCCCAGATGCCGAGAGCAGGCACAGAAGATGTCATGCAGTGATGGAGATCTTCCTGGATCGAGTGATCTCCTCCAACCCCTGTGAGGAGTAGGGGTCCAGAGAGTGGAGGTGCCTGCCTCCCCTGGAGGGCCAGGGCTGAGCAGAGCCCCAGCCGGCCGCCCACTCAGCGCCGGCCTCCTCACCCACAACTCACCTGCGGGATCATCTTGCTGAAGCTGGACATGATGTTGGTGCTTTTTGCCTCTTGGTAATAAGCAAAGACCCCCGTTAAAATGACGACCAGGATAAGCACGGAGCCCAAGTACACCTGGGTGGGGAGGCGGGGTGTGGGTCAGAGAAACAGGGACCGGGAATGAGCCGGGGCCGGGGCTGGGGCTCTCCGTGGGGGATCGTGTCCTGGTGTAACTCACAAGCCACAGGACCCACCCCCGTCCACAGCACGACCACGACTTGTAGGGAGCTGCAGAGCCGCGCAGGGACCCCACTGTGCAGCCTCGGGCCTGCCCGTCCCTCCGGCAGAGCCCTCTTGTCCCCGGGGTCACTCCCCGCTCCCGTCCAGCCCCTGTGCCACCTGTCTGCTCCCATACCCCTGCTCTGCACGGGTCCCGGCCCCCTCTGGCTGCTGTCCCTGGGCTTCCTGTGGCCCATTCGGGTCTCCCAGGCACAGACACGCTCCGTGTTAAAGCGAGACACTAGCTTTGAGGACACAGAGCCCAGGAAGACTTCCCATGGAGGTGGATTTTTTCCTCTTAGGAACTGAAGGGGTTTTGTCTGTCTTTCAAATCCATGCTCGCACGGCCTCCGGGATGTGAGAAAGTCAGATAGCGCTGCCGTTTCACAGCTGGGAAGACTGCCGGCTGTCCCACGCCCACGGGGCGACTGCTCCCTGGTAGAGCCCCGGCCCCAGCCCCGTGCTGTGCCCACGAGGCCCGACCCCACAGCTCTGCCCTGCCCGGGTACCAGCCGAGCAACCAGGGGGGGCGCGGCTTACGTTGTCCAGGGATACAGAGCTGTTGTTGGAGTACAGAATCCCGTAGGCGATGTAGCACAGGAAGGCCCCTATCCACAGCAGGATGGAGAAGCCCCCCACCATCTGCTTGAGGAACTTGATGATCTCTGGCGTCTGCTTGGGAGGGCTGAGGGCGTTGGGCCCGTCCCGAGCCAGCAGCTCGGCCGCTCTGGAGCTGGAGAGACCCTGAGAAAGCCAAGCAAGACACAGACAAGTGGCAGTCAGACATCTCTCCTCCCTCGGGGGCTGGGCTTCCTATTTTTCTAGCTTGTTGGTTAGGTGGTTATCAGGTCATAGAATATGAAATGTCCGACTGCCAATCAAAAGTGTAGTTTTTTTATATCTCAAACAGGAAGCAGTACAATTAATCAAAGTATGAGCCTACACTATCGACACAGTGTTGCCATCGGTGGCGTGTTGGTGCCAGCAGTGGGGAAGCCTGGAGAGCCAGTGACAATGAAACCATGAAGGGCATGCTCCACGGCTTGTCAAAAATTGCATATTTTCCCTTGCAAGACGTGGTCCCAACCCTGGAAGAAGTGGTAGTCGGTTGGCGCAAGGTCTGGTGAATGTGGTGGATGACAGGGGGTTTCCAAGTTCAGCCTCTGTAGTTTCGGCAGCATTGTTTAAGCGACATGTGGTTGAGTGTTGTCTTGCAAGAGGACTGGCCTGTCTCTGTTGACCAATCTCGGCTGCTTAATCACAAGCGTCCTCATCATTTCATCCAGGTGGTTGCAGTAGACATCCGCTGTAATCGACCGACCAGGTTTCAGGAAGCTGCAGTGGATAATACCAGCGCTGGACCACCAGACAGACACCATTAGCTTTTTTGATGAATATTCGCTTTTGGACTGTGCTTCGGTACGTCATGTTTATCCAACCATTGTGCTGAACGTTGCAATTGTCAAAAAGAATCCTTTTTTTTTTTTTTATCATATATAACAATATGGTGTAGAAATGGTTCACCTTTATGTCGTAACAGCAAAGAAAGACAAACTTCGAGACAATTTCTCTTCAATTCACACGGAACCCATCTATCCAGCTTCTTTACCTTGCGGATTTGTTTCAAATGATCCAATGTGGTTGGAATAGTAACGTCAGACCTTGCTGCTAAGTCACACAGAGGTTGAGAAGGATTCACTTCCACTACAGCTTTCGGCTCATCTTTATCCACCTTGGTGTCAGGTCGCCCACCTGGCTCGTTTCCAAGATTAAAATCACCGGAACAGAGTTTCTCAAACCATCAACACACGGTGTGTTCATTAGCCAGGTCCTTCCCAGACACTTCCTTGATATTTCTGGATGTCTGCACAGCATATTGGTTCCAGGACGGAACTCACATTCGAAGCCAACATGAATTTTTAAATTTTGGTTTCACGAAAATTGCTCTAAAAAATTTGGGGGGGGGGAAGATAATCACAAGCCAAACAGTGTGTTTGAGGAAGGAGGACGCACCTTCACAATAAGACAAGACATGTCAAAGTGGAATGTCAGAGACAGCAACTGTCAAACTTAGTACGCAAGGCAATCAGACATTTCACACTTAATGACCTAAGACTGCGCCCACGGAAGGCCTTGGGCAGTGGACGACGCCTCATCTTGGTGAGGGCGTGTTTAGCGGCTGCTATCAGCCAGGCGGTGCTCCATGTAGTTACAATTTATCGTTCAGAATAAGCCTCTGAGGGCCGGGCGCGGTGGCTCACGCCTGTAATCCTAGCACTCTGGGAGGCCGAGGCGGGCGAATTGCTAGAGGTCAGGAGTTCAAAACCAGCCTGAGCGAGACCCCGTCTCTACTATAAACAGAAAGAAATTAATTGGCCAACTAATATCTATATAAAAAAAAAATTAGCGGGCATGGTGGTGCATGCCTGTAGTCCCAGCCACTAGGGAGGCTGAGGCAGTAGGATCGCTGAGCCCAGGAGTTTGAGGTTGCTGTGAGCCAGGCTGACGCCACGGCACTCACTCTGCCTGGGCAACAAAGTGAGACTCTGCTCTCAAAAAAAAAAAAAAAAAAAAAAAAATAGAATAAACCTCTGAGCAGGGAGCCACTATCATCACCATTGGCGCATGTGTCCTTTGAGGCGTGAAGAGGTCATGCCGCCTGCCCGGGACACCTGGGGGGCCACGGCACGGCAGCGCCAGGGGCAACTGAGGCCCGGCCCCGAGCCAGCGCTCTGCGCTCTGCAGAGGAGCCGGAGTTTCTCAGGGATTTCTCCAGCGACAGGAGCAACGTGGCCAAGGAGGATTTGAAATAGAGACGCCGGTCACCAGGGTTGAGGACAACGCAGTGACCCTCCAGGAAATGTGAACAATCCTGGAACCTCTGCGTAGCCAGCGAGTGGGCTCATTTTTCATCCTTAAGTCTGGTACTTTTCTACAGATCCACCCTAACTTCCCGTTCAACTTAAGCAGGGATAGATCCCGCCCAAGCTCTGAGGCCCACCCCAGCAGCCCCTTCCCTGGTGGGCTTGCGTCCGGCTCCTCGGGGAGTCACCCCGTGCGGCCTTGGGAACCCTGCACTCTCGTAGGGATTTTCTTCCCCCAGAAACTGTCCTTCACAGAGAAAGTCTGGCCAGAATCCACCGTTCTCTCAGCGCATCGTTTCAGCTTCTCGCTGGCCACCCGGGCAGGACGGAGTGGGTATCACAACACGTCCCTGAACATCTGCCTCTCCTACCCAGCAGTCTCCTCCTTAGGGACGGGGGTCACATGTCCTCCTTCGTCCCTCTCACTGCCAGACCAGCGGGAACCGCAGAGCAGGTGTTTCTGCTGACCTGAGCAGACTTGAGCACCCAGCACCCAGGCGCAGGTGACTGCGGTCTCCACGCTGCTGCTGTCGGCCTAGGGCACCCTCTCCATTCCACACCCCCGGCAGCCTCCCCTCTGCACGGCCAGGGCCTGTCCTCCCCACCCCGCCTCCACACTGACTCACCGTACTGATGTCTGTGCCATACTTCCTTTCCAATTCCTTACTGCTGAGTTTGTGGTCATCCTGAAGGCCATGAAAGGAGAAAGAACAGAGTGAATTGGATAATCCCAGAGGACTCAAACCGAAAGCTCTGGCCAGCCGGGAGAGCTGGGAGTGGTAGCCCTCAGGAAGGGCGGGGGCCCGGAGGCGGGTGTGGGGGAAGGAGAGAAAGAGCTCCTTGTGCCAGGCAGCTGTGCAGGGAGGGAAGGCACCGCCCAGGGACAGCCTTGTCCTGCTGGGTCGCCACCCTCCTGAGCTCAGGCTGCACTTGCCACCCACCACCCAGAAGCTGTCTTTAGATCTTAGGGACAAAGCAATGCGCCAGTGTGGCCTCCCGCACACACGGGTCCCAGCACACTGGTCCTCCAGGCCCTGGCACACTGGATGCCTCCTCATTCGAGCCTCAGTGCTGGGGCTGGCTGGCCACGGCGGGCAAAGCCAACCCAGACCGCTTCCCGCGTTTGGACAACTCCTCCTCCCTCCCCGGGTGGTCTCTGGCCTTCCCTTATGCAAGTACCTGAAACTCAGGGAGTCCACTGGCTAGAGAAACCCTGCAGACTAAAACCTGCCCAATGAACAAATACCAGCATGGCCCAACGAGTTACTTTTGCCAAAGAGTCATTAGATTGAAACGGGGTTTCTCAGCCTTGGCACTACCCGCATTTTGGGCCAATAATTCTTTGTTGTAGGGTCTCAGCCCACTAGGTGCCACTCACTAGCACCCTCCCCTCAGTTTGATAACGAAAAATGTTTCCAGACATTGCTAAATATCCCCAGGGCAGTGGTGGGGGTGGGGGATCCTCCCTGTTCTCCCTTTTGAGAACCACGGGGCTGAAGGACTAGAAGTCTGTCATTGTGGAAGAAAACCCACGAGTAAGTCTTCCTACCCTCCACTCTCCCCCGGAAAACCCAGGACTCAGAATTCTCTAAACCCTGATTGTCTGAAACAAAGAACCATCGTTTCTTAACCACTTCGGTACCAGCGTCCACTACAGTCGACAGCCGCAGATGAACTCGAGCGTCGACTTTAGCCGACAGCCGTGATATGACTTTACTAATTTTTCATTTATCAGAATAAAATTGTGAACGTTTAAAAATAACGTAACGAAAACATATATGTGCATGTTACCTATTCTGATGGACATGACAAGTACAGCTGCCTGTTAAGTAAAACAAGCTTTCGGTGCTTTCGAGCTTTCCTCATCACACAAGAGCAGAACGGACTCGTCGAAGTGGCTAAGTAGATGCAAGAAAAAGTTCCATGTTGCAATAAAAGATTAGAATTTCCAATAAAGGATAATTCATTACTAGTATTGTTACTTTGCTTCTAGCCCTTCAGCTGGTTTCTGCTTTGCTCATTCGTCTTCTCCCGTATCGGTCGAAGGTGGTAAAGCCAGGGACCGGGAGGACTGAGGCACAGCCCCCCTCAGAGCGCAGCACGGTGTGCTGAGCTCCCGGCAGACACAAGCCATGGGTGGCTAGGGCCCTTGTTTGCAGGGATGGGCCTCAGGCTTAAAGGGCCGTGCCTCCAGGCAGAGGACCGTGCCTGTCCCTTCTGCCTGGGCCTGGGGATGAGAGGGTAAGGGAGGCGGCGGTGGGTGTCTGGGCCCCCCCTGCTGGCCAGCACTCAAACAGCACAGGGCAGCACCGGCTACCAGGACTTGGGTGGTCGCCAGGGATTCAAAAGCCAAGGAGATACTTCAGTTGCCATCAGGGCTATAATTTGCCAAGAGGTTGGTATTCAAAAGTAACTACTGTCCCAAATTACAGGACTCCTGCAGGAAGGCTGACAAAAACAAAGAGGGAAGGAAGCTCTTGCTCTCTCAGTCAGGAAGCAGGGGGGCGCTCGGCTGATACTATGGAAATTATTTCCTGCACCGCACATCTTCACAAAGTGCTCAGAGAAGGGAAATTGTCATCATGATCAACAGGCATACGGGGGCATGGATATAATCCACGGCGTAAGTAGCGATCTCAGGGAAGAACAGGCATGTCTTCAATCTTAAATGCCAGAGACACACAGAAAACGACTACCTTGGCGCGTGCTAAGTCTTTCCTGCTTTGTCTCACGTAACCCTCTTAACGACCCTAAGAGCTAGGCCCCCCTTCTAAGTCCTATGTTTCCAAATAGGAAACTGAACTTTGGCCACACTGGGATTTGAATTCAGATCAGTCTCATCTCAGGGCTGAATTCTTAAACGTCCATCAGCACAGATTATGAACGCATGCCTGGAGGCGCGCGGCTAAATTAACAAGCTCTCCAGGAAAGGTAAATAAAAAGCTCTGGTTTGTAGCATTTGCTGATTTCTCACCAGAACCAAATTCCAAGCTGCTAACATGATGTCGGTCAGCGTGCCAACACGTGGCTGGCTCTCCCGCCCAGATGAGCTGTCTCTGTCGGTCTCTGCGGCGGACCGGAGGGCCAATCTAGCCACGCTCCTTGCCCCTTTGGCCATCCTGAGATGAATCTGCCACAGTGCAGATCAAAGGCAGCTCTTTATTAAAGCAGCCACATTAATAACTCGAAGTCCTTCCTTAATAATAATGATGATGACATTGCACTTCCATAAAGCACCTAGATTACAAAACCCTCATGTGTTCCCTTCACAGACCTCTGCAAATTATTTATTTCCCATTTGACTTAAAGAAAATGGAGTTTTGGTGAAGTGAGGCCATTCGCTCCCCTTTCAGCTCAGTCAGTGGAGAAGTGGGAGGGACCTCGGCTGAGCCGCTGAGCCAAAGGTCCTCTGAGTCCAGGTTGCGCATTCTCGCCATGGAAACTCTCCTTTTTCATGGGGTTTCCTACCTGAAAGCTAGCACGGTCTAGCAGCTTTGCTTTCCCTCCCGGGAAGATCCGGCTCAGATAGTTCTACTTCTCAACTAAAAACTGGCAAGAGGCTGTTTAATTTACCCAGGCAGCTGGGAAGGAGGGAGGTGAGGGCCATGCCCGTGGGACCTGGAGTCGAGACTCCTCTGAGGTCTACCTGGGACTGCCTGAGACCAGAATGCAGGACGCCTGCAGAGGCCCTGACCTCTGGGCAGATCCTATCACACCACCTTTTTTTTAAAAAAAAACAAGGAAACAAATCTCTAGGGGATTTCAAATCCTTGAGACTGATTTTTCTTTTGCAAGAGGCAGGTTCTAGGGGCAAGCTGTTAGGGGGAAGGGCAGTCGTCTGTGCGACCCAGCGCTGGGCTGAGGCTACTGACCAGGTCCAGTTCTTTCTTAAACTCCTCTTTCTGGTTATTCTTTTTGAGGTCCAGGCATTTGTTCTTCAGGCCCCTGTTCTTCTCCTTGCCATCCCCCGCGTCTGTCTTCCCGATGTCTTTGGTTCCATCGAGCTCCACAGAGTAAATTTCTAGTGTTTTCTGAAAGAGAAGCAGAGGTGCAACTGGCCCTCAGCGGGTTTTGCTGAGCGCCTCTCTGGGGGGACCTGGGTGGGGAAGCGTCCCTGCCTGGAGAGACCCTCCCCAGCTCTGGCAGTCCTTGGTCTCCTGCGCAGAGGGGAGGCTGGGTGGGCAGAGGTCTGCCAGCATCTCCTCAGTGACCTGTCTGGCGGCGGGGGGCAGTTACCACCCCAACTCGAGACAGATCCTCCAAGGAGCTGCAGGCTTTCCCTGGGACCTTGTTCCCACTGGAGGCAGCAGCCGTGAGGCCCGTCCCTGGGGGAGGGGGACCCACCGAGCTCAGGGCCCGCAGTCCCGAGCAGGAGGGGCTCCCGAGGGCTTCTCGGACCACAGGCAGCCGTGCTCCCCGCCCGGCACCAGCCTCCGAGTCGGAACCGGAGCCCGCAGGTGCAGCGGCGCTGGCCCAGGACGCCGGGGGCCCTCCACGCACCTCCGCACCTGCTCCTACAGGCGGCCAGCGCTGGGGCGCCGCATGGGCGCAGGCGGCTGCGAGGAGAAGCCCCGCGGCGACCAGAGGGAACCCAGAGTAACCGCGGCCCCCTTCCCGGGGCATGGCATTCGTCCTCCTCGCCCTTCGCTCGCCCCCCGCCAGTGCGCTCCCGTCCCGGGCCCTCGGTCCCCACGCGGCGTCCTGGGCGCTGCAAGGGCGCGGGGGCTGCACGCACCTGGCGCATGCTGCGGGCGGGCGGGCGCGGAGTGCGGGCAGCGGCGACCGCGGGGTCCGGTGGGGGGTCCGGCGTGGGGGTCCCGTGCGGGGTCCGGGGTAGGGGTCCGGTGCGGGGTCCGGCGTGGGGGCGGCGGAGGTGAGAGCGCTGTCGGCGCGGGATCTGGCAGCGGCGCGGGCCCTGCGCGCACCTCCGCAGCCGATCCAGCCACTGCCCCGGGAGGAGGCTCGCGCCTTATATGCCGCCCGCCCCGCCCACGCACCCGCCGCGCCGCGTGCCGGGGACGGGAAACCCTCGGGCTCGCGGGCCTGCAGGGCGGGGCTCGGGGGCCGGGTCGCCCCGGGAGCGCGATGCGGGGCGCGGGGCCTCGGGGTCCCCGGCGTCCCGGGCGCTCGCGCCGTTGGCGCCACCAGCCGCAGCCGCCCAGGTGCGCGCAGCCCCGCGCCCGCGTCCCGCCCGGACGCCCCTGAAAACCCACGCAGCGTGTTCTGTATGAACTGCAATCCGCTTACCAATAAAGGAATTTATTTAAAATATGCAAGCGGAGACGGGGAGAGTGCAGTTCCCAGGAGCAACCGCGCTCCGAGGAGCCGTCCGGGCCAGGAGAGGCCGACGGGTGGGGGGGAGGATTTAGGGAAATGCGAGCCTCGGGGCGAATTTGGACGAAACCGAGGGCAACTCTGAAGAGTAACTGGATAACTTTGCGGGGTCCAGATAAGAACCTGGGGTTCTCAGGCAATTTTGGAGGCGAGAGTGGGCAGGACCGACGCAGGACGCCAGGGCGACATGGGAGGGAGGAACCGGCGGCGCGCCCGGTGCGTGGAGCCAGGCTGGTGGCGGCGGGGCTGGAGACCTCTGCCCCACAGCGCTCACGTAGGAGTCCTCCCCCCTTCCCGCCTTCCTTTGCAAAAGCCTGGGGTCCTCCCCCCTTCTGGCCTTTCTTTGCAAAAGCCGGGGGTCCTCCCCCCCTTCCCGCCTTCCTTTGCAAAAGCCTGGAGTCCTCCCCCCTTCCCGCCTTCCTTTGCAAAAGCCGGGGGTCCTCCCTCTACAGCGCAGGGACAACACTAATGAGTCACTCGTTAACCGAATGACAAAGGATGGGAAGGCCCCTGGTGACATCCAGTGTGGACACACCAGGGAGCCTTCAGAGTTGGAGGGAACATTAAACTCTAGTCCAAACCCAAGCAGCAGCGGAGGTGTGGGGGCTCTGCGTGGTGCCGACCCCCCATGCTCCTCAAAGGAAAGGTGTGCAGACAGGGGTGAGGAAATACAGGATTTGTATGACACTGATGTCCCACCGTCTGTCCAAGCTAAGGGGCTTTGCCGGCACAGGTGGCTGCTGCTCACCAACAGCGGTCCCTGCAGTGGCCCGGGTGTTTGCACAGAGATGGGACAGAGAAGCAGGGTGCCCAGAGGGGCGTCTCTGGGCTCAAGCCCAGTTCAAGCCTCAAGGGCAAACCCAGGTTCCTAGGGACTTGGCTGAGGGGACAGGAGAGTGGCAGGTGGGGGACGGGGTGGGCTGAGTCACCCAGGCTGCGCTGGGCAGTGCCCCCGGGACCCTGCCAGTCTGCATGGCCACTCCTGGGCTGGCCGTGGAGGCCGAGCTGCAACGCGGACGCCTGTCGGCCCACACACTCCAGCAGCAGCTTCTGCGGGAGGTAGTCTGTTTTGCAGAAGCAGCCTGAGCATGCCCAGGTTGTCCCCTCTACCTGCCCTTACTGACAGAGACTGCCGGCCTGGGACAGGCTGTCGTGACACCTGGCACTATTCCCGGCTCATTTTCATCCATCGTGCCCTTGATGGGTTCGAAGCTGGACTAGACGCTGGGGCGGTGGGGAGAAGGGGCACTGCCACTGTGCCGTACTTCCGGGAGGCAAAATCAACAGAGAAGCGGCAGTGAATGACCCAAGGGGAAAAGCGATCCAGCACTGACTGGCGTAGGCTCCCAGTGCCTTCAGAGTTTAAAAGGAAGGGGTTTCTCTGGGGAAGCTGGCACAGTTCTTTTTTTTTTTTTTTTTTTTTTTTGAGACAGAGTCTCACTTTGTTGCCCAGGCTAGAGTGAGTACCGTGGCGTCAGCCTGGCTCACAGCAACCTCAATCTCCGGGGCTCAGCGATCCTACTGCCTCAGCCTCCCGAGTAGCTGGGACTACAGGCATGCGCCACCATGCCCGGCTAATTTTTTGTATATATATTTTTAGTTGGTCAATTAATTTATTTCTATTTTTGGTAGAGACGGGGTCTCGCTCAGGCTGGTTTCGAACTCCTGACCTTGAGCAATCCGCCCGCCTCGGCCTCCCAAAGTGCTAGGATTACAGGCGTGAGCCACCGCGCCCAGCCTAGTTTTTATTACTTAGGATTAGCTTTTCAGATTCTTTCCTATCCTTTTGTGCACTCCAAGAAAGGTGGGGAGAGAGGCGGAAAGAAAGCGGCTGAGTTGGGGCCCTGTGTTTGTGGATTCCCGTTGGCGCCCTGAGTGGCCCCTGCCGTGCGCAGGGCTGTCCCAGCTGCTTGCTCACAGGTGTGGCTGTCAGGATCCCAAACTACAGGGAAGAGGACCCAGGTGCCAATGGGCAGAGGAAGCTTCACTTCCTGCTTCTCATCCCGCCCAGCCTCCGCTGCCCACCAGGCCTCTCCCTGGCCCTGGTTTCCTCTCCCACACGCGGGCGGCCCCGCCCGGCGCCCTCCCCACACACCTGCGGCATGACTAGGCCCGCGCTGCTCCCCGGTGAGGCCAGCCTGCAAGTGGAGTCGGAATGAAAAACAAAAACAAAACAAACTCCAGGCAAGCACCCTTCCCCACTGTTTCCTCATTTCTTCATGCGGGAAATCCCGAGGTTGCGTGGGGACATCCTACAGAAAGGTAACCTGCCTTTCCGAAATTAGTTAGCACGTCCACTCAGGCGGACGCAGCCAGTGGTGGCCTCGGAAGCAGCGCAGGCCCACCGGGGGCACTTTCTCCTCTGGGCACAGCTGGGGCCGGGTGGCCGCCTGCTTTAGGCTACGGCCGTGTTTACTCTCTGCAACTCGTGTTGGGTAATAGGAGGCATTTTTATTGTACATGTTCAGGGTACACAACACGGTGTTTTGAGACACTCACACATAGTGAAGTAGTGACTGTAGTCAAGCTAATTAACACATCCATCCTCCCCGCAGTCACCCCAGTGTGTGCGTGTGTGTGCATATGTGTGCATGTATACATGTGCATGTGCGTGTGTGTGCATGTGTGTGCGTGTGCATGTACACGTGTGCATGTGTGTGAGAGCACGCATGTGTGGCAAGAGCACCAGAACCCACTCTCTCAACACCCTTCCCGTATACAGCACAGTTGTCATGTGGTCCTCATGTTCTACCTCGGGTGTCTAGACGTCCTCAGCCTGCGTCCCCGCATCCTCTGACCCACGTCTCCCACCGCCCCCACCCCCATAACGAGATCCTTTTCCAGAACATGACCGTTTTCTTTTTAATAGGTGATTGCAAAAACTGACTCCATTCTGAAGTTTTCTGACTTAGGATGAAAACGAGTTTTCCCCACGTGAATCATCACCATTGTCGTGGGAGTTATAACATATGTGACATACGTACAACACATATATGCATGAACAATGCATAACACAAGGGGCATCATTCACACAGACATGCGTACCTGGCAGGAACTTGCCTCTCCTGGTGAGCGAGGAGCCGCTCGCTTGGCCGCCGGCCACCCCATTCGCAGGGTCGGGGGCCAGCAGCAGACTCGCTGGCATTTGTTCACTGCTGCGCTCTGGGCTGGGGGCCTGTGATGCGCGCGGCCCCGCGCCAGGCCTGTCCTCTGAAAGTGCCACCAGCCTGGCTGGGGAGACCGGGCACACCGGCCCTGGGTCAGAACACTCAGGGAAGGCGCGTCCAAAGCGGGTCAGACCCGGGGTGCAGAGGGCGCAGGGAGGGCCGAGCTCCCTGGAGCAGCCGAGGGGCTTCCAGAAGGGGCTGCAGTGTGAGCGGGTCTGAAGGCCGGCAGCTGAGGGGAGGGGAGGGGACTGGCTCCGCACAGAGGCCAGGCGGGGAGCGGGGATGGACACGGTGGCCCAGCACAGCGCCCTCAGGGAGCAGCACCGGGCTCCAGCCTGGGCCTCCTGGGAGCCTGGAGAATCTGGGAAATGCGGAAGGGGCTGCAGCAAAAACCAGGCGCCCTGCTGACCCCATGAGGCTGCCTGGCTTGTAGCTGCTCCCCTGCTCCCGCCTGAGCCTTGAGCCCAGTCCTCCCCCACCGCCCGCCCCCCCATGCTGGCACCTGCCCCCCCCCACATCTGTGGAGGATGCGGCTTGTTGTAGCACCCGTTGCCCGGAGACCATTTCAGATACAGTTTATTTGCTCTACGAAGAGTCTTTGAGATGAAACCAGGAAAAGGGCAGGTGATAGTCGCCCGATCTAAAGTAGAGAAGTTTGGGAGGCTGAGGCAGGAGGATTGCTTGAGCCCAGGAGTTTGAGGTTGCTATGAGCTAGGCTGACGCCACGGCACTCACTCTAGCCTGGGCAACAAAGTGAGACTCTGTCTCAAAAAATAAAAATAAATAAAAATAAAGTAGAGAAGTTCATACAGCTTCTCCCCTCGCCATGCCCCCAATAAATGTATATTTATTCAGCATTTCTGGGGTGAACTGAGCAGTTCTGGGTTGTGTGGGGGAGATGGGAACCACAAACGAAAGAATGTCATAAGAGACCAGGCTGCCCTGTCCACAAAAATTAGCTTCAACCTGATAATGATGGGAGCTGTCATTCTTTTATCTTCTTTATAGAGACAGGGTCTTGCTCTGTCACCCAGGCTGGAGTGCAGTGGCACAATCATAGCTCCCTGCAGCCTCCAACTCCTGGGCTCAAGTGATCCTCCCACCTCAGCCTCCCAAGTAGCTGGGACTACCACACCAGGCTAATTTAAAAAAATTTTTTTTTTTTTTTTTTTTTTAGAGATGGAGGTCTCACTATATTGGCCAGGCTGGTCTTGAACTCTTAGGTTCAAGTGATCCTCCCGCCGCAGTGGGGCCCTGTCATTCCTAAATGGTGGTGTGAGTTAATGAT